TAAAACAGAAAATTAAAAATAAATATTTTTACTTTTGTTTGTAATAGTTATTATAATATTATTTATAAAATAATTACCTATAAGTTATTTATTAGATATTTCATCTCTAATATCAAACCTACAAATCCATGGTTCTCATTGAAAAATTGTTATTTTGCTGCCTTATTATTTAAAACAAATGTATTTAACTTTGTAAAATTTGGATCGTTCTAAATTTAATTATTAGTGATACACGATTAATTGATAATATACTTCATTGGGACACGAAAAAAAAAGTTTGAGAACCGCTGATCAAAGTTGTTAAAGCTGTAACGAGAATAAAAAAAAATATTGTATCATAATTGTTCAGATGAAAATTATTATATTGAAATAATATCTGTTAAATAAATTTTACAAGACATTTAAATAGTAGATATTAATTGTTTTCAAATTATTAATAGATACATTAAATTTAAAATGTTCAGTATGGTATATGATTATTTGTAAAAAAATATCATTATTTATTTAGGTAAATAGTTTTGTTAAACATTCAAGAAATTTAAGTAGGTATAAGGTACACAATAAAATTTAAATTTAATCATATATTAAAATTAAGTACTACAAAACTATCTAAATATCATGTATTTTATTTTGTGGTTTAGGTAGTAGGGAAATATTATTAACTTGTTAATCGGTAGTTTGTTTTTACAAACAAAATTTAGAAGAAAGTACTATTGTGTAAAAAATGTTTGTATAATGTCGGTTTTGATAATGACGTTAGAAAATTCAAATATTTGGAATATCCTGATATCAAATTAATTACCATATTTACGATACAAAATGTTAGTATTAACTTTTTGTGTACACTATTTTTATTTTACCTTGAAAATATTATCTTGGTAACTTTTACTAATATTAATCATTTAATATTATTCTCAATACACGCTTAAAATACAAATATAAACTCTTAGAAAAAAATAAAAAAATAGCTGCAGTAGTTATACACATTTTTTTTTAAGTTTATGTTTCATATCAATTATAGCAGAATAATAATATATAAATGTTTGAATTTATATGTATTATATGTATTATAAAAGATAATTGTATTATTACAACTTATTATTTAATTTTTTATAATTTTAATTTTTTGAAATAGGTTTAGTAAATTTAATTGTGTAATCAATTATTGAAATAATTTTTTTTCACAGCCTAAGTTTTAATTTAAATCAAAATTCCAAGCATGCTATTGAGCAATTGGAATCATATCGTTGAAAAGTACATTAGTCAAGTGGTTAAATCATTAGCTGATATTTTTGTCCAACTTTTAATACGATAAGTCATGTGAATTTTTTATAGTTGATAATAATACATTTTATCATTTATTACCAATTATAGATCTATATATATATATATATAAATATAATAAATATTAAATATAATAAGTAAAATAAAATATTATATGAATGTAATTATTCATTACTGAGCTGGTGAAGATTAATAAAAATATGTAAAAAATGACAATTACAGTCCATAAGTTTTTACAGAAAAATAAGTTGTAGTAAACAGTAAACCCAAATATCTACCTACCTATTATTCATATTATATATTACCTAAATATTCAATATTCGTGGATTTTTAGTGAAATGTTCACAAAATTGAAAATATAATTCATCTTTGTATCTAAACAAAAAATGTTGAAATATAAACTATGATACGTTATTATATAGTATATTAGTGTAATTAATAGTTAATTTTATGTTAAACTAAAAATGTTAATAGTTATTATTTTATAAGTTATTTAGTGTTGATGGAATTAAAATTTAATATTTATTCTCATTAGTTTTGGTTAAATGGATTTACGTAAATATTATTAGTCGAACAATGTCTGTACAATATTTAATAAATTAATAAATTAGTTCGTATAAAAATTGTTAAACTGTGACAGTTGTAGCTATAACAACTGACAAAGTTAAAGGACTAAAGAGTAATTTATGAACTTTTTTAAGGAACTAAAATTAATGTGAATAATCTCATCTACTTAATATTATGTACTTAAATTAATTATTTTACATAAATAAAAATAAAAAAAAATTAAATTGAAAACAGGATGTTTGTAGGTAATACTTAAACTTAACATACTTAAATAAAAGTGACTGCTGGTTAATAATAATAAATATTAAATTATTATATAATTGTTTATTTAATTTAAGGAGAGACATTTTGATTTTTGAGGACTATATTATTATGTTGTAAGTTTGTAAATACCTATAATAATATTAAAACAAAATATTTAAAAATTCTTATAATGTATATACTGTTTGAATATAATTATATACAGCTTAGCTGAAAATTTTATATTTTATTTTTATCACGCAATTATCGAAAAGCCATAAACCAATGACCTCATAATTTAATTAATCATATATAAGTAATATACATGAATGTTATTATGCAAAATATATGCTTTATTTTATATTACACTAATCACTTGTTCATCGCTATAGATAATACAAAAAATCGAAACGTGTGTACAACGAACGATGATAAAAAATTTAAATTATGAATCTTACAAGAAACTGATGTTATAATATTTAAGTTTTAAGCAAAATAAATATTTAATTTTATAATTAATTTTAATTTTTATAATTAGTTTAAAGCGTTTTTATTAGTTTAAAAATAATTTGAATAATATTTGCTTAGTTTGATAGAACAACAAATTGTTGAATAACCATGAAAATGATATTCCGTGTTTTTCATTATCGTATTCAGATTATATGATTATTCAAACTAAAGTATCGAAGAAATTTCATAGGAATCTCTTAATTTGAACGTATTTTTGGATTTTTATATAATTTAATTTATCATAAAATATCACTACTGAGCGAATACATGTAATAGTATGTTTAACTACGCAAAATCAACTCACACAGAAATACCGTCAATGAAATATCACATATTATATGTATCATAGTATCATATTACAGTTCGTATTCGTGCACATAAGACAATGTGTGTGGTTTTTCAATGATAAATGGTCGAATAAAAAAAATATTATACACACACACACACACACACATATATATATATATATAAACGTTTTTCGAGTAAAATCACTCGCACTGCATCTTAGCGAAACGAATACAAGATTTATAGCGAGTAGACGAACGAACCCGATGTTTTAGGGGTAGTCGGTAGCGGATGGAACAGTTTTATTTATTTAGGCACAGACCCCTAATCGTATGTCTGACGTGTACCTATTAAAATAATACGAGTGATGATGACCCTCCTCCCCCATACTGACGATCATAAGCTATAGGTGTCATATTTAAAATTTTCAGCAGCTGTTGTCCTCGTCCGAAGACGTCCGGAGATAAATAATAGCATAACGATAATAATAATAATAATAATAATATCTCACACCGTACAGACAATTTTGTAGGATTGAGTGGATGACGAGGGGTGGCATGGATGTAGACACTCGTCGCACCATATTTATTTGTCAAGAAATCACTACTCTTATTCGGTTCATTGACGTGGCTGTGTTGGCCGATCGCGTCGAATTATACGCGTTAAGCGATTATATCGCTGATATTATGTTTTATTGAAATCGACTTCGAGTCGATTACATTTTTGTTTACCCAATTTATATAATCCTCGGTCGTTTATAAGGTGTATACTGATTAAGCGCACGCAATCATATATTATTACTATGTATGTTTAATGTATATGTATATATATTATATAACTTTAGATTTCTTGAATGCTATACCTACTTGAAATCAGAGACGCCGAGTGAAAACAAAATAATCACTTAAGTTTGTCCGTCATATATTTTGTGTCAGAAAAATGTCCACTGATATAAAAATTGCTAACCATTTAGTTATTAATATAATATATAAGTATCGAAGATAAACGAGTACGTATTGATATTACTTACGTGCCCGTGACAACTTGCCAACTGAGAAAATGATGAGAAATTTGGTACATTTCGCACAATAATTGCACTCTTTTTTTATATTTACTCATGGGCGCCCGACTAGACGATACATTTTTTCCTGCTTCTACTTCAATTATAATTTTGAAAATTTTAACCGTTAATATTGTTTAAATCGATATTTCATTGATATTTCGACTTCGGTAAAGATTAATTTCTTAATGTGCTTTTTATTTTTATTTTGTAGTTTACAAAGAATAAACTTTCTTTTTTTTTTTTTTTAATGCGATATTCAGTGTTTGATTTTATTACGCTCTTCCCTGTTAGATTTCCCGCAGGCGCCCCTGATGCCACAGACTTCTCTCATTATGTTTGATTTTTAAATTATATATTTTCATTTTAAATTTTATGGTTTAATCTGCATCTGATTATGTATATTCGATTTTAGTTGAGTAGTATATAGGCTGTAGGCATACTAGTATTTTCCACACAATGTTTTTTCACCACATAATATGAATGAATCGCTAATATATTCATAACATTTTTTTAAGTGTTAGACATATTATAATATGCTCGCACCTGTATGTTTGGTAAAAGCATTTAATTTTTAGCCAATTGGAAAGTATTGGTTTAATATAATATGTTCAACAATAACAAATCAACGAAGACCATATTATACATGTAGCATGTGTATTAGAACGGCAACGTAATAATGTTTATACAGATTTTACGGTCGTAATTGTTTTGTTTATAATATGTAAATAGCCACACAGTTTCAGTATTTAGGTACTATTATAAATTATTATCGCATCAGGCAATCAATAGTCATGATAATAATTCAGTCACACACACATATTAATAACGTATCCCATCTAAAAATTACTAATTAAATATAATAAAACACATTATTCTACTTAATTTCAGCATTTTGATAATTATTGGTATTTTTTTTCACATTTATTTAATGTAGTGTATCCGTTTTACTACGTTTCCTATTGGTTCGTTTACATTCGAACTACGACATTCTTTTGTGGGGGGCCCTTCAGTTTATGGTTAACACACACGTGTGAACAAAAATAAACTCGTCTAGTCTATTGCAGGGTTGATATCTATTTAAAACGAACAAAATCCTCCTCTAACCATGTTCTATTGGTAGACAATTTTTAAAGATCCTACCAAGACTCCACCCATTACATTAAATCGGAAACATCTTATTTTTAGTAGCATGAGACTCTTTTGAACCCTGAATGACTTTAATTTTGCTGCTGGATGCCGAGCGGAAAATTCATTGTAAGTGTATTCAATTGTACGAAAATACGATATTTTTTTACTAATAATATAGATTTTAGCTTAACTTTTTTTTAATGCTTTTCGAGTTTTCGAAATAATTATATTATTATTTATTTGATGTAAAATAAAATAGTTATTATTTTACATACACGGAAAAAAATAATTTATTATTAAATAACAAGTAACTATAGGTATTTCAACTTGTGAGTATCTTACATAAATACAATTGTAAATTAATTCAAATTTAAAATTAACTACAAACATTATTTTATATTGCTAAAGATCTTCGTCAATATATTTTACTTTGTTATTTAGTAAAGAAATAACAATATTTATAATTGCATATTTTCTTATAATAATTTATACATAAATATTAATTTGTTTGCATGAAATAACTATTTTTATATTTATGATGATAGATACAATGAGTAGTATTATTAATTGAATGATTAATACAATATATAAAATATTAGGTAGAAAGGTATTTCTATTATATTATTAAATACTATTAAGTCTATATATTATATTATTTATTTTGTAGTAGATTTATTTATATGCTATAAACATATTTCCGAAAGGAATGACCATGAAACGTAAAATACCTACATATTTTTTTTTACACGAATACAAACTTGTTTTGTATATCATTATATTTATTAGAACAAGAAATTTTAATAATATAAATTACCTCATGATATACAAAATTGTAAAAATGTTCAATGTACAAAAATAAGTAATATAGTCATTTACACAAATAATAACACATTTTAAATAATTTTAAATCTGAATTAAGATGACTAATAAAACTGTAAAATAATATTAAATTATTTAACTAAGCTGATTGAAATTTGATTATAAATATTTTTTTATGGTTTAACATGTAACATAAGAAAATAACTGAGTAAAATTATTTACTACATAATATAGGTATACTAATTATATTAATTAGTAATGAAATAAAGTTCGTTAGGTAAAAATCACTTATATAGTTAGAATGATTACATATTTTTGAATTATTATTAATATTCTATAAAGACTGCGTATGAAGAAAATTGGTTGTTAATTTAGTAAGAATTATTTTAAATAAACAATGCCATTAGAATAACATAGAAAAAAGTGGTTAAGTACTAAAATTTAAAACATAAACTGGCATGCCTACCTATGACAGGATAAAATCTTCTTCATCATTATTATTCGTATTGTATATACTAAAAAATTATCTAATTTGCTTCTGAAGTGAAGTAATTAAATATTGTAAATATTTTTTTATTAATCAAAAAAAAAAAAAAAATAATAATAAATATTTTTATTTATTTAAAATTTTTATACTTATATTCCTAATATTAACTAATATATTCAAAACTTTGAAATTGTATGGTTAAAGGGTGAAACGTGAAATTTTCACGAAAATATAAATAAAAATTTCTATTGAAGGTATTATGTAAGAATCAACTCGACATACTTGCGAAAGTATTATACAAAATCAATAACTCTCTACATCCAATAAGTTTGAAGACTATAAACAGAGTAATTAATTGTTTGGTTGTTTAATGAAAAAATTGAGTTTTAAATATAACGAAATTGTATATTTAGTGTATACAAAGTGTATACAATATAAATAAATATATTTATATTGTTAGCTTTTAATGTTTACATTAATGATTTTGTTATATAACGTCAACATAAATAATAATTAAAATAATATTTACTATATTATAATATTAAAATAATATCTTTCAGTTCTTAGATATTTTATAATGATTTATGGTAAACTTGTACTTTATTTCCATGAATCACATGTCCACGTATAGTTAAAAAAATATAAGATGGTGGAATTAAAAAAAAAATAAAATGAGAAAAAAATAAATATTGATTGTTTAATAAAATAATGTGATATTCATTATAATAGGTATATTTAAAACTTATATTTTTATATTCTATATCAAGTAACTAAAATAAAATATATTGTGACGTATAAGTTATAAACGCAATGAATATTATACACTAAAAAGTTGCTATATTCGCATGTGTTGTCTCCATCTCACTAACGTATAACATAGCAAATTAGTTTTCAATAGAACCGATTTTGTGTTGTTAACTTAGAACAAATCGACCTATTATCAAATAAAATGTGTTTTAATTTTTAAGCAAGTTACGAGAATTTTTTTATTTTAGTATTGTACATACTCATTATTGACTTAAAATTTAAAAAAAATCGAAAAAATCCATTTAACTGTTTTATGTTTAATATTACAGCGAATTTATCTATTATTCAATTTAAAAGTAAAAATATTATCTAGTGAATCTTACAAGTATTTTTTTATATTTTAATTCTAAAGCGAGTAATAAACATTTTAAAATGCACTAACAATCTAGGATTTTAAAATGTCAAAGTTTCTTCACTACAAAACTTTGTAATTCCATCGTATAATCAAGAAATTATCAAAATCGATCATCACTTTCAGTTATTATTCTATTTGTAATAGATTGTTGATTAAATTACGAAAAAGGAAAAAATTGTTCATAATATGCTTTAAAACAAAAATATGAAAAAACCTATGCGATTCACTGTATAGTATTCTCAATTTTAAATTTGAGAACAGATAAATCCACTGTAATATTAAGCGTAAGCGAATTTTTCGGAACATACAATTTGTTATGCGTTAGTAAGATGGAATTAACACATGCGTCCACTTGATTGAGGAATGCTGTCTCATAAATTGTATGGTTAAATTTTATTTTGAAATATGTACAATTTAATAAATTTACTTTATAATAAACGATTAATTCATGCTTAAATTATGCTAAAACAAATTTATAAAATATAAATTTTTCAATTTTCCCGTTTACTGTTTATGTGAAGGTCAGATTTTAAATTTAAATTATTTTTAGAATAAAATTCGCGTATAGGTACATATTTTTTTGTTGAAATATTTTTTAGAATAATTTTACATGACTTGTAGTTAAATATTTTATTTTTGGCTTACATTCAAACACATCAAATAGTAAAAAGTATTACTATTAAATACTTACATGTATGAGTAGCTTAACATAATATTAACCGAACCTTAATATTTCATAATTAATGTCGTTCTGTAATATGTACCTAAATTATCCTAATCCATTATGTTTAAAATTTAAATGTACATATTTTTTTTCAGTTAATCAGATCATATAAAATTGTCTCAATATTTACTGTACTTAAATTTATAAATCAAATGGTATTTTAATAGTAAATTTAACGGAATGAAGGATTAAAAAAATGTGTACAAATAATAAATAGTATTTATGCAATTAAATGAAATACTCTCAATAAATTATCAAAATAATAAATCGTAGGAATACGATATCATACAATTTATTTTAAATTTTATTGACGTTTGATATTTACCCAGTGGTGTAATAATTAATTCATACATATTTAGGCAGATTGTACTATGGTAATTATTACAAATTAATAATATAAACATGAGTAAATTTGTTCAAAAACAAGATTTTGTAGATAATATTGTCAATATAAATATTTTTTTTAACATTCAATTAATTTATAAAACATTATTTTGTCCGAGAACTATTTATTTTTTTGTTCATTCACCAGTCGAACAACTTTCACATCGGAGAAAAGTACGTCAGTGACAAATCATAAGGAAACTATCAGGAAAGGGAACAAATATTTTATCAACAAATAGATTTTAAAATGCATTACTATCGTAAGATCAAACCTTAACTAAAAACACGATTTACGTATAATTTTCTCAAGACGAATAACGGCAACATAAACGTCATATTTTAATGAAAGACAATCAGTAAAGATAATTTTGTTTATTCGCCTTTGTTAACTTATTCGGTATTCTATCGATTTCGATCTCAAACCTATTATCTACAAATTATAATCATAGCTACAATAGGTAAAAACCTATATACATAGATAACATATTAGTATCGATTAGATAATATTAATATCGTAGAGCGACGTATTTTTATTTTTTAAAAATTGAGAAAAATATTACGCATCGAAATGCACGTTTCAATCACATTCGGATATAATACAATTATTTATGTTTAATAAACGATTTCATCGAAACGTATATTATGATCTCTACTGATAATTAAAGACCGAGTTTTGCATGAAATGCATGCTGCTATTTTCTATAAATATCCATAAATTATTAATTGATTGATTTAGTATCAAAATTTTGTACTGTATATTTTTATATACTTTTCGTATTCTGACGTTAGTGAATATTCTGGATCTTTTTGCATATTCTGATGTTAGTGAATATTCTGGATATTTTTGCATATTTTAATAAAAAACCGTAAAAATATACACCTATAACGATCCAAAAAGGTATTGAGCAAAAAAATCAAATTATAGGAACGTACGTTTATATGATATCAAATATTTTATGTCTTAAAGAATAACTTTTAATAACTTATTGTTTACCTAATTAATTACTACATTAAACTGTATTTTTTTTCAATTTATATCACCAATGTATCTATTATTTAATTTTAATAAAATATTTTTTACAATGTATTACCTAATGATTAAAAATTAAATCACAATTTAACAAATTAAATTTTTGTATTGTATACTTGCTATATCATATATCTTATACTTTTTGTTTATGAAAATTTAAATAAAAATAATAAATAATTATCACTGCAAAATTAAAATCAAATAAAAAATTTAATAAAAATTTAAATTATATTTTGCATGTTATGCATTTTTTTCTTGCATGTTTTACAATTTAAAATGCATATAAATCCAGTCTTTACTTTTAATGTATATTGATTATGTTAATAAATTTCATAATCTGGAGCTCTTGTTAGAACCGTATTCAATCTCGTACTTTGCGGGTGTTGAACATTTTAGCGAACGGTCGTTAGAAAATGTACAACCGAGCTATAAACATCACATGAAATTTAAAATTAATATTTTGCGTTCACATATTATTATTATTATTATGATCGGGTGCAGCGGTGGTTGAAAAACTAGTTTTACATAATAATATATTGCACCGCCACCGTGCGTGCTTATACTTTTATAGACAAGTAGGTATGTACGCCAAACATGGTATACGTGCAACGCACGTTTCTACAGTGATATATTTTATTGGTATTCGTATCGAGATTTATATCATATTTTTATGAGTATGGATGAATCGGCGAACGTTTCGCGTTGATACTTACCTTTAACTTCTGCAGGTATACGGTTGTATAATGGGTATGGCGTTAAGGTGTAGTGTTTTGTAGTGAAATTGCTTGTACGATAACTTTGCAGTGGATGTGAAACGGTGCAAACGGATGTGGAAAGAAGAAAGGGTTCACACGGTTTACCGTAAACAAAACGGTCTCGGGGCCATAAAGAGAGTGGAATACAACTGCACACGTGTTACACTGCGCAGCATTGTCGCACGGCGGCGAAAATGCATTTTTTTTTCTCGTCAGTTAGTAATTAGTCACTATCACAATCAATCACGTCTATATATATAATATATATATATACCCTATCTATTAATTTTTTTTTCATTATTATTATTGTTGTCGCGGGCAATTAATAACAACTAATACCTCAAAATAATCTTTCTTTTTGACGGACGGATCGCGTTTGTACCGCGAGTCGATATCTGTGTAACGTATTATGTTTTTCACGAAAATTCATCGCCGTCCCTTTTAAACTGTACCGCACATTTTGGATTTTATGCAATTCCTGGGTCGCGGTTGACACGACTTAAACACGGGATAAATTTTGCTACTTTGCCTACTGCGTCAGTATAGTTATCTCTATTCAAGTATTGCAATATATAATACTTATACTGAAGTATGCGTTAAAGTACAACTCAGCTGTAAAATCTATAATATGGTTTAGTATGTTCGCTGTATTGATTATTGAAATTACCGTTTAGACGGAGTATGCATTTATATGAAATACTTAAAATATTATCTAAAGATATTTTTAATTATTATTCATATTTCAAACTGATTCTGAGTGATTCCTAAATGTGTATTAATTATATTAGACGCATATTAATAGTCTTCGTTATTGTTTTATTGTTTTTAATTAAAAAAAAAAAAAAATTTTTATATGTGATTATGATATCTGAAGAATAAATACTTAGGTGTTACATATATAGTATATACAATAAAATAAAATAAAAATGGTAGACATTATACGTATAACTAATAGTAAATAATAATTAAACAATACAATGAAACTAATCGTTTATATTGTTTTCCCTTACAAAAATAACATTTTACGAGAACTATTAACACGAATAATTTATTTTCAAAAGAATAGAATTGAAAAAAAGATTATTGTTAGTGTAACATAATTTGTGTTGTTTATTTTTAATTTAAATAAATCTATTACTTTTTCAATAATTTTGCCCGAATAAATTTAAAATAAATGGCAGTTTCATTAAAATTTTTCTGATGGGCGTTGATGAACAATGATCATAGATATTATTAATTATATTCCAAATAATTTGTCTTTAATATCTACAACTCAATGCATAATCTCATAAAGTTATACTCATGATGTATATTTTATTTTTATTTATTCAAGTATGCGTTTAATTTCATTGCCTTACTGTAGATATTACGCGTTATATTATATTATGATTGATAATGTAAAATATGTAACATAAATTAAGTTTGGAAAAACATCATGATTTGTTTTTAAAAATTGTACAAAGTAGGTAATTGAAATTAATAAAGTAGAATTATAATTCAAGTAAAGCAGAATTCATAATATACAATGGGTGGTCATTTAAAATGTATCTTTATGTGTCATATATTAAAAAACTGGCGATTAAAACAAAGATATAATATTTTACTTGATAAGTATTTAAACTTTCAAATCGTTGTTGTTGTTGTTGTTGTTGTTTTTATAATACTTAGACATATTGTTTAAGGATAGTTTTCAATTATACGTAAGAGAATAATAAATAGTTAATCTATTACAACCGTCTACCATGTTTTAGCATAAATATTATTATCACACATATCAGAAATTCCTTCTATGTCAAAATTCATTATTTTTAGTGCAATAACGTACATGATGTATTTTAAAAATATTTCTCTATATTAATTTTATCTAAGTATGGTGTGTAATAAATATATAAATATAATATGTATTTAATTTTTATTAATAACATGACTCAATCCTTTTTTACTTAAATCATTAATTTGTTAATTTTAATTATGTAGAAAGATATGTTAAAATGGTGAATCTTAAAAAAAACTATTTAATATTGTATTATGAACAAAAAAAAAACTACATATTATTTCATAAAAAAAATCTAAGTAATAAGTTTTTAAGTTTCTAAAAGAATAACTGATTCTTTGTGTTTAAAAAATTCATAAAATATATTATAATCAGTAAAAAAATCGTTAATTTCTACTTCTCGAAAAATATTTCATTTTGGGCGTGTAATAGACCCTCATAGATAATAGATGAGTATAGCAAATTGACAATTGAACGTACACCGATGTTTTAATTTATCTACACACTGTATAATATTTTAACAATTTAATTGAATGTACATGTTATGTAGCTCATATAAAAGTGTAGACGTGTAGTAGGAATTGAGAAACATTATTAAACTATAAATTACTGGTATGCGCACCATTCAATGTTTTTGACTTTTTGTAGAACGCGGATGAAATTTAAAGAAAAAAAATGGAACACAAGTGCAATATAAAAAAGCGTTATTTTTTTTTTTTTAATTTTGATTTCAATTTATAACTTATATGCTTATTATAGTGTATTATTTTTTTGTGTATGTCTTTACATTTGTATCTCCTAACGAAAACGACATTTGTAGGTATGTATACTACATTACTGTACGGGTGATTAACGTACTCGTAGATTGAGACAGTGTAATAAGGCTATAAAGTGGCGAATTTTACTGTCACTATATAGTAATGAAAGTGTAAGCTCTGTGTAGATGGGATGACGAATTAGGTTGAGATGTACCTATATATATATATATATATAATATTTTTATATGTGTATGTGTGATGTATGTTTAACGTATTACGTAACCATACGTCCCGCGTTGGACGGGACAGTATTACTTTCGAGCTAAGTGTCCCACTATATCCCCAAAGAATGCAAAGATGTTTTGCTTTTCAAAAAATGACGATTTGTATTGCATTCTATTAAAAAAGAGCTCATATTTAATTATCGCATCAGAAAAAAACGTTGGTATACGATTATACATTTATACCATTATACGTGTACGTATGTTTTAAATTTTAATGGCGAAAACGCGTGAGTGGGTTCTCAATATAATACGTATATTAGACATTTATTTGGTGATCGATCACTTCAAAGTATTTAGAAAATGTGAAAATTGGATTTAAAAAATGAAAATTTGGTTGTTTATATACTATAATAAAAAAAGAGGGAGGAATACAGCTATGTTTTTAAAATATAGTGTTCAATACATTTCAAATTTTATTTATTCTATAGTAATGAGCACTAATATAACAGTGTAGTACACAAAACATTGGTAGATAGCTGTTATGAGTGTGTACCACCCCTGTCGCCTCTACACTAAAAAAAGAAAACTTTGCTCGTACAATTGCTACTGAAATTAATTAAATAGTTTATTCAATCGTACATTGTCGCAGATGTGACATGGGCAGACGCAGACCGGACTGGTGGTTGGAACAGCAACATCAACAGCAGCAGCGGGACTTACTGGAAGACGGTTGTCCGAGGAATGCAGCCAACGCAAGGGAGAGGGCTCGGATGCGTGTGCTAAGCAAGGCGTTCGGCCGACTCAAGACCACACTGCCGTGGGTGCCAGCTGACACAAAACTGTCTAAGTTGGACACGCTAAGGTTGGCCACCACATATATAGCACACTTGAGCTCGTTGCTAACGACTACCGAGCACATCGCGGACCAGGGAGAGACCGGGACTCAGGTTGCGGTCACATCTGCGCAACCAATAAACTATGCCATGGTAAGTATTAAACTTATACGTTACATTATATACTAATATCGAGCAAATACACTATAGGTAAGTAGAATTAATCATTATCATGGATTATTGGATAATTATTTCCAAATATGGATAATACTTTATCCTTCTAAATAATCGACTTTAAACTAATGTTCATTCTTGACCATAAGTTTTTTATCCCTATCGCCGTTAAAAAGGATCAGATTCAAAAGTTACAATAGAATATGAAAACCCAAGTCCACTTATGATAATTATACGTACATATAAACACACTTAAAATAATGATTAATTGCATTAAGTGGTTAATGACAAAAATGTACACTGTTATTATTCCGGTTACGTAATGTTATATTGTAATAAGGTTTTTTTTTCAAATTCCTAAAAAGTTTTAATTAAACAACACAGTGAAAACAACAGTAAGAAATAACCGATAAATAATAATATTGTTTCTGCAAAATAGAAATGTTAAAAGTGTTACAGAGCATTTTTTCGAAATACGTCAAACCACGATTTAGTAGTCTAAATACGTGTTAATTATGCACACAATTTAATAATTTAACCGAACTAGACACAAGAGTGATAACTAAAACATGACGTCACTCCTAAACATGATTATTAATGTATGATGTACGTATACATATTAAAATAGTAATACTGCAAACGTTAACGGCGGCCAAATTATCGCGTTTCGTTCGTTAAATATTACAATTTTTTTTTTTTTTAATTAGTTGCTTTTGGTTTAATATTGTAAGAAAATGTGTACTGAAAATTTACTCGATATTAATTTAATTAATTAAATTCACATGTTTGACGTTATGTAGTATGTATACTTACTTTATGATATCACATAGCAATAAACGCCTTGGCGAAAATAATTATTCATTTATTTGTGGAAACTATAGTGTCATTCTCAGGTTTACAAGGCCCCTGGACTTGCAATATAATATCAAAATCCATAAGTACACTAGAGTAGCGGCTCTCAATCTTTTTATAGGTATTCGAGTACCACCTGCCCATTACGAAAATTTCTACGTACTTGATCTGATAGCCTTCTGTTTTTCATTAATAAATGTATACGTTATTTGTTACATGTAAAAGATTATGAAAGGATCATCTAAATTGCTACGAAATTAAACATATACTATTACAATATTTTAATAATACGTATCTGCAGTATCTATATTAACTATTCAAAATGTAATAATGCTGTGTGTTATATTCTAAGAACAGTCAGTTTGTTGTAAAAACGTTATTTTCATCTTGCAAATATTGGTTTTATCTAAAATATATTTAAATTTTAAGTCGTTGATAAAATTTTTGGAAATATTTTTATTTACACGATATATTATATAATTGTATATATGCGAGACTTTTCGAGGTGCGAGGCCCTGTGCGAGAGCCCTGTTTGCCCTGCCCTCGGGACGGCACTGTATTAGCGAACGAACATAGAAGACTGTAATAACTGTGAATACTTTCGGTTTTTAAGTGAAATTCTATTTTGGTAAAATTTATGGCACAACATTTAGCAAACCGTGTGTATACATGTCGTCTTCAGGACGAAGATGGCATTTGTTCGAGTTGTCAAATGCGACAACGACGTTTTTGTGTACGTATTCAATTCGTCAGTTATGTGAACACTGTGTAAATTTGAATAGTTCGGGAAACACTCCTCATCAAAATGGACAGGTATTGAGTCCACTAGTCTAACATTAATATTTTAAAAATCTTGAAAGAGTCGACATTTCCTATTTATAATTTAATTTAATGTACCAGCATGTAATATAATTTATCTGTAAACAAAAACTATCCAAGTAAAATGTCTTTGTAATTGACAGTACACACAGATGGCCTCACTCTGATGTATAGTTTTTATAAATCTATAGATCAATCATAAAAAACTTTTAAAAATAAAATGTTCAATTGTATTTATAATAATTTATAATTATATCAACGCAATTAAAAATGAGGCGTAAATAGGCACGAGGCTTAAGATTACTCTCTCAAATTTTGTATTCAAACACACGGATATTAATACGCAGTTATTATGATTTAAACCTAATATAAATCACTCGTAAAGTGAAACATTAAAAAATATTTAACAATTTTCAAATCATTTTTCTCGAAGACTCATGAGAAGAGAAGGGGAGCTAATTATTTTAAATCGTTTTGAAATTATCTTGTCATCACTTATCGAAAATATTGTATTAAAACGTAAAATCCAGCTATAAATTGAATATTGTCGGCCTGCTGAAAAACACTAAACGAATCGACGAGTTTGCTCATTTTTCGTTTGTAGAATTATATATTCAAATAATATGGACCATGAACTAAGCACTCGGTGGCGTACTTGTGCGATAATACGTTATAATATGCTGATAGACATATAATAATGTTATATCCTTTTTTCATTTTTATTGAACAGCAATATGTGTTGATAAAATAATTATTAATTTGATTTTCACGAAATAAAACAGAAAGAACTTTTTTTTTTTGATTTAACGAACTAATATTGTATGTACAATGGCAAACGTTGCGTCGGCGCTTGCCCTACATTATAGTTGTTCCATATGGTCATATAATAAGTGTACCGAGTAACTCGTGTATATAGATAAGGTGAATATAATTATAAATTTATGTCTTTGGTGCATTAACGATATTGCATTTAAAAACAGTTCGTGTACGAAAATAGTAAATAGCTATATCCGGTCGTACAGCATCACTAATAATAAATTGATCGGTGGAATTATTGAATTTTTAAATCTTACGAGCATATTATTCTCTAGAGCGTAATTATTACAGTTCTTTTCATTGATATAATATAATTTCTTCCAATCTCGCAATATAAAATAATAATAATAATAATCAAACTTAATACAATTTAATCAAGGGTTCGACAAATTTTTATCGTGTAAAGGAAATTGGTCGGTTCATTAGTGATTGCAAAAAGGTGTATGATTAATTTGTTTAGAGCTTAATTTACCATAAAGAAATGGACTTGATTAATTTTCGTTGAAATATTGTTTGAAGTGGTTGGTTTTGCTGTGATTGGTATACTTTTTTTTTTTTTTAATATATTTAAATACTTAAAATATTATTTATAATTATTAACATTTTCATTTTCATTACTGAATCGAATAACGAACTCGACTCATTTAAATGTATTTAATTACATTTGTTCAATAATAATGATATATTTTTGAGTAAGTTATCAAACTTTATTTTTATTTGATTTTCATCGACTTAACATTTGAAGTTACAATTATAAATAATAAATCTCTATATACGTGATTTTTACTTATTAATCAATAATGTATAATACCTACAGTTGTTTTTTATTATTAAAATAATTTTTATTAAATTCAGATAAATCATAATTTTATAAACCGTTTATTTGATATATTCTAATTATCTTACTACTCAATAAATAATGAGTTACGATTGTATTATATTACGATTACATTTGAATGAAGTATTATTTCTGAAAAATAATTTACTATTGATAACACATGTTTGAAAACTTGACAAGATAAATAATGGTAACTAGGGTATTAAATAATTTGATAAATTTAATGTTATGAAAATGCATTCAATATTCAATAGCAATAATATCATACTTCTTTGACTTAATTACATAAAGTAATTAAAACTATTAAACTCAGTCCACAGAATGATTAAACAATATAAAGTGATCGAAACATAATTAAATTTTTTTTATAAATATCTATTATTGTTTTGATTGGATTTTAAATCATACATTTTATCTTGACCATTTGTTTTTTTCGAGGAAAGAAAGCATAAATATATATATGCACTTTAGTCCACTTAATCAATTGTAGTAATTGAAACTTCTAAAGTAAATAAATAATGAATACTCTATAGGTTTGTTAAAGGTTTTTTTTCTTTTGTCAAAATATTACTGGAACAAAGTTAAGTATAAATTGAGAACTGCTAATTTAATTAAGAAAATAATTTAAATATACGTATATATACCTATATAAATTGGAGTTAACGTTATGTTTTAGTAATTTACATCGCAATAATTTTGTTTACCAAATTTTTATAATTTTTGAAAGTAAAACACTTTATTCTATTTGCCGGTTATGTCGTTTTTCGATAGATTAAATTTAATGATTGTATCTTACCTCTGTAGATTTTCAAAATGCAAATCCGATGTGTCGCAAATTGTCGACTTTTTTTTTCGAGTGTAAAATATTTTTTTAGTCTATCCGTCCAAAACTAGAACCTTTTAGCTTTTATGGTAATAAATCATTTTAAAATAATTTAAAAAAAATGCATGATCATTAATTGAATAATAAAATGAGCGCAATAAAAGAAAAACGACTAATAACAGGTGTTTAATTATTGATTAATATCGATTCATGTCACATAATAAACACTATTAAAAATGAAAATTTAGTAAAAATTTATCAGTAAAATTATACTATACATTTTTATAATAATTCATACCCATACAATGTTGCAAACACGTAGGTCTACGCCTATAACAGGCGTCATATTTAATTTTAATGCATTTTATTTTTATTTTGTCATTTAACATTGAGATCTTAAACCCGCGGCCGTAGCCGTTTCCCTTCAAAAATGAGATACCGTTTTATTCACTGAGAAATTAAGAATTAAAATAATGCGCATATTTCAAACAAATAAAATAATTAGCAAAAATATATAAAAATAAAATAAAATTTAATTAACAATTAGTTACCTAAATCTTTTTATGATTGTACAGCATTCCTGAAATTAATGAAAATGTGTTTAAAGAAAAGAAATACTAGACAAATGAATAATTATTTTACTTTTTGCATTACCTATAAATTTCTTCGTTTTCTAATTTACTGATAGTATTATCGATTGTTTCACACCACTTTTTTACTCTGTAGACTATAACAATACTTTTTATTTTATAATAGATATATGTTTTAATTTTTTTCATATAAATATATTTGGTTTTTATTTACAAAGATTTTCTTAAAAATGCAAATGAA